TTTGATGTATTTCAATTCTGGAAAATTTTCTACAGTTATGTCTTCAAACACTGTCTCTCCAATATCCTCTCTATTCTCTTCTTTTTAACTCTAAGTAGATATAATTAGGCTTTATTTTTTCCTCATTTTCTTTTTTGGGGGGAGTCCCTTCCCATTTCCCGCCTCCTTCATTAGCTTTTAAGTTGCATTTCATCTTTCTCTTTCTCTCTACTGCCTTCTATGGAGTTTAGCCCATGATAATTTACTCAGTTCTGTCTTCTAGATTTACTGCTTTCTTTTTAGTTGTATCTAATCTACAATTTTACTTATCCGATGAGTTCTCACTGTTATTGTTTATACCTATGATTTCTGAAAGTTCTAATCCTTCCCCAACTCAAATCTGCCTTATCTTTGTTAGGGTGTTTTGTTTTTTTCCTATTTTCTTTTTTGAGTTGGAGTCTCACTCTGTCACCCAGACTGGAATGCAGTGTCATGCTCACAGCCACCGCAGCCTCCACCTGCTGGGCTCAGGTGATTCTTTCACCTTAGCCTTACAAGTAGCTGGAACCACAGGCATGTGCTAATTTTTTGATTTATTATAGAGATGAGGTCTTACCAAATTGCCCAGGCTGGTCTCGAACCCCTGGACTCAGGGAATCCTGTTGCCTCTGCCTCCCAAAGTGCTGGGATTATAGGAGTGAACCACTGTGCCCAGCTATTTTTTCCTATTTTCTATTTTTAAATTTCTTTAAACATTTTTATCGTAGTTTGTATTTTTAATCTGTTATCTCTAATATCTGGAGATCTTGGGAGAGGACTAGTATTGGTTTTGATAATTTCTGCTGATTTTACTCATAGTGGCCTCTTTTGTTACATGCTTTGTAATTTGTTTTGTTTTGTTTTGAGTTGGAGTCTCACTCTGTCGCCCACACTGGAGTGCAGTGGCTGCTCCTGGCCACCGCAGCCTTGACCTGCTGGGCTCCGGCGATCCTTCCGCCTCAGCCTTCCAAGTAGCTGGAACTACAGGCGCGTGCTACCATGCCCGGCTAATTTTTTGATTTATTGTAAAGATGAGGTCTCGCCAAGTTGCCCAGGTGGGTCTCGAACCCGTGGGCTCAGGCAATTCACTCACCTCAGCCTCCCAAAGACGCGGGATTATAGGCTGAGCCACCAAGCCCGGTTGCTTTGTAATTTTGAATTGTGTGTGCTTTAACTGGTGACACCTGTGGGGATATTGCAAAGCCTGGGGCAACAGTACATTTTCTAGAGTATAAATATTGTTTCTGCTAGAAGCAATGCCTTATGCCATTACCAACCCAGGACCTTTTTTAAGTCAATTTCTTGACTTTAGTTTCCCAGACCAAGGAGACAATGTAAATTTGAGATCAAAATTTCCCTGAGAACATGCCTGTGGAATTCTATAGAGGATTTTCCTCCTACTAATAGTTAGACTGAGAAAAATAAATTATTTTATTGTTTGTCTTTGCCAACTGACAGTTTATTCTTTCAGTTAAGGTTTATTCATTTATTTAAAGTGTAGTTCTTCAAGGGTTTGTTTTATGTGTTCTCAGTATTAGTTTGCCTCTTTGCATGGGCTAGATTTATCTCCTATCTCCTACTTGGTAGAGAAAAATTAGACCTCTAGGTTTCTAATTCTGGTGACTACCTCCAGGGTAGACACAACTTCATACTTAGCTTACGTCTCTGGGTTTCAAGTTCCGTTTTAGTTTTGGCCCCAGGAAATTTGCTTAATTCTTGTGAGCTTGGCTATAGTATAAATGGGTAATTGTTGTTTTATCCAGCATTTCTAGATGTTTTATATCAGAAGCCTTCCCCTCATAATTTATGAAATAATTCTCTATTACTTAATTAACATTGTATAAACAAAAACCAATATAAAGTACTCAAGTCCTTCTCCAAGTAATTCGTCTGATTTATTGTTTATAAAGATGAAATATGGTTGTTATTCTGTGCACATCATTCAGAGTTGTGCTATTTGTGTTTCTTTCTATAGTTTTTCCTATTTTTTATTTGTTCTTATGGAAGTAAAAATGGTAGTTGTACCATATTTAAAAAGAAAAAAAGGTATAAATATTTAGGAAACAACTCACTTGTAATCCTCCCAGCAAGATAACAGTTTGACGTTTTTCTGGCTTTTCTATACAGTAAGTCCCCTACATATGAATAAGTTCTGTTTTGAGAGCGCATTCCTAAGTTTAGTTTGGTTCGTAAGTCCAACAGAATTAGCCTTGATACCCAATTAACACAATTGGCTATATAGTACTGTACTGTAATAGGTTTATAATACTTTCCACTCAAGTAATTCATAACAAAAAATAAAGAAAATATATTTAATCTTACAGTACAGTACCTTGAAAAGTACAGTAGTACAGTACAACAACTGTCATATGGGGCTAGTATTGAGTGAACAGGCAAGAAGAGTTACTGACTGGAGGAGGGAGAGGAGGTGAGAGATGATAGAGCTGAAGGATCATCAGCAACAGGAGATGGAGGGCAAGCTGCAATTTCACTCACTCCTGTTGTTGATGGCCCAGGTTCTGGTTCCTTGCTGGATTCAATTCTGTCTATCCTCTTGAAAAAAATGAATCAGTGATGTCTGGGTAGTAGCTCTTTTTTTTTTCATCAGACAACCTGGTAGCACTGGATTGCATCCTGAACGGCTGCTGCAACCTTCGTGTACCGCTCTACATTCGGGTTCTGTGCCTCAAAATTAGCAGTGTCTCCTTAAATAAAGAAAATCCCCTTGCCATTTTCTGCATTGTGAATCTCTTTGGTTCTTCAGTTACTTCTTCAAACTCTTGTCTCTCTCAGCCATTTTTTCGGGCCTCCAATTTCATCGGGTCTTCATTAGTATTGCACAGCAAGGAGTTCAGTAAGGTCATCCTCTTTCAGATCTAGCTCCAGCTTCTTGCCTGGCTAAAATTGTCTTTCTTAATGAAAAATACTGTTCTATTATAATGACAAATCTGCCTATATATTTCTTTGCTTTTAGCTTATTATAGTTTTTAGTAATATTATTTGGTTCAGCTACAAAAATCTTTTTTAAAAGATCTCCAACCCCCCATTAATAAACTTTAAGAAAATAATTGAATTATGGTAGTATAGTCATAGGATATATATTATTCTTGTCTTATAATGCTAGGTTTCTTAAAAGCAAAGCTACCAGTTTACATTACTGCTTTCTCCCACTATTAAGTTTTTCCATTTAATGGTATATTAGGAGCATACATTTCTGGAGTCATACTGAGTAGATTCCAATTATGACTCTTGTGACCTTGAGCACATCAGTTAATCACTCTGTACTTTAATTCCTCATTTGCAGTAGGATTGCTTTGAGGATTAAATAAATGAAAAACGCCTGGTACATGGTAAGACCTCAATAAATGTAGGCCCTTATTTTAAAATGTTTTTCCTCATGGTGTTTTTTGATTTTGTATTTCTTCAATGACTAATGAGGCTAAATATTTTCTCAAGTGTTTTGGTCTTCTATTTACAATTTCTGACATGTGAACAGTCCTGTATCTCCTTTTCTTAAAGTAGAAGTTTCACTTCAGAAGCAAGTTGACATAATACCAGAAGCACAAGTGCTAATTTTCTTACCTCATCAAAATTAAAATTTTGTGCTTCAACATATACTAACAAGAAAGTGAAAAGACAACTAATAGGATGGGAAAAAAGATTTGAAAATGTTATAGCTGATAAGGGACATGTATCTAGAATATGTAATGAACATTTGCAAATCAATAATAACGAGACAACTAAATTTTTTAAATGGGCAAAAGATGTGAATAGGCATTTTCTTCAAAGAATACAAATGGACAAATAAGCACATGGAAAGATGCTCAACATCATTAATCATTAGGGAAATGCAAATCAAAACCGCAATGAAATGTGACTTCACATCCACCAGAATGTCTGTAATAAAAAAGAAACAGAAGGACAATAACACGTTTTGGGCAGGATGTGGAGAAATTGGAATTTCATTTCTTGCTTGTGGGAATGTAAAAAGGTGTAGCCATTTGGAAAACAGTTTGACAGTTCTTCAAACTGTTAAGTACAGGTTGTCATAGGACCCAGAAATTTCATCGCTATGTATCTACTCAAGAAATGAAAACATATATCTACACAAAAATTTGTATAAAGATGTTCTTAGTAGCATTGTGTCCAGAATTGGCAGCATCTGTAGAGACAGAAAGTAGATTAGGGGTTTGTCCAGGGCTGGGGTGGGATGGGGAAGGTAATGGGTGGTGGCTGCTGATAGTTACAGGATTTATTTTTGGGGTGATGAAAATTTTATATAATCAGATAATAGTGATAGTTGCACACCTCAATAAATATACTAAGAACTTTTGTAATCTTTAAATGGTTACGCTTTATGATATTTAAATTATGTATCATTAATGTTATTTAAAAGAAAGAAAGAAACCAGTTGATCAGGTCTGCCTTTCCTGTACATTTATCTCTTACCCAGATTGTTGGTTAGGAGTGAGATAGATATATTTCAGTTAATGAGTCCTACTGTATTAGAAAACAGCATATTTCGACTTAATTGGTATATGATATCTGATAATTTGTCTTGAGTTCTCTAGGTCCCACATCCCCTATTACCGACTGTGTAATTCTTGTCTAGCTACGGTACCTTATAGATTGTTCCTTTGTTTATAAAATTTGGATGATTTTTGCTTTTCTTACCTCAGAGGATTATTTTGAAGTTCAAATAAAAGTGACATAGCACTTTTTTTTTAAAGCAAGGGGCAAAACCTCTTTGGGTCCCCTCCCACTGTGGGAGCTTCTCTGTCCTCTCATTAAATCCTGCTTTCTCACTTTAAAAAAAAAAAAGAAAGAAAGAAAGCAGGATTTATTGACAGAACAGAAAAACTCCCACAGTGGGAGGAAAGCCGAAGGGGTTGCCCAAGATAGCACTTTGAATACTGGGTAATCTTAAATAAATACGGAGTAGTATTAAGACTCCTAAAATTCTCTGTATTTTCTTTTTATAGGAGTGAAACACAAATCTTTTCTAACAGCTGAGGACTGCTTTGAGTTGGGCAAAGTGGCCTATACAGAAGCAGATTATTACCACACAGAACTGTGGATGGAACAAGCACTAAGGCAACTGGATGAAGGCGAGGCTTCTACCATAGATAAAGTCTCTGTTCTAGATTATTTGAGCTATGCAGTATACCAGCAAGGAGACCTAGACAAGGCACTTTTCCTCACAAAGAAGCTTCTTGAACTAGGTATGTTATCTAGACCTAATTTAAGGTTGTAGTTATACTGGGGATTATCAATCTGTCTGTCCGTCCGTCCATCCATCTGTCCGTCCACCCACCCACCCACCCACCCATCCATCCAGCTAGCTAACTATCAGTCTATCTCCATCCATATATACCTTTGGTATTTTTTATTTGTTGTAAGTGAAGAGCTTTATCTGTAAAACACACTTTATCCTTTACCTCTTTATTCTCAAAGTAAATGAGTTTTTTCACCTAATAGTACTACAATAGTGGTTGTGTTTCTCTGCTCTGTATTCTTAAGGAATTTCAAAATTAGACCTAACCTAGCTAACTCGGTCAAAAAATGTTTATTTACCACTTTACCATTTTAAATGTTAGTTTCCTTTGAAGGGTGTTGTTTGTTGTATTTCATACTAAAAATAAAGTGATTTAAAATAGATAAACTGAAAATGTATTTGTCATATTCAAATGTTAGAAAAATGCAATACCTTATAAGAATTTTATCACAAGTACTTTGAACAGAGATGTAGTGTTTCTTCCAGTATGGTCCAAAGACCACATGCATTTGAATTACTTGGGTACTTACTGGAAGTGAAAATTCTTTGATTTCTACACCAGACTCACTATATAATAATCTCTGGAGATAGATTTCAGAATTTATATAATACTAAATTCAGGCAGCCTTTGGCATATAATGAAGCTTTAATACTTTTTGTTTTTGTTTTTTTGAGTTGTAGTCTCACTTCATCACCCAGGCTAGAGTGCAGTGGCACGTCCATGGACACCCCAGTGTTGATTGCTGGGCTCAGGCGATCCTTCTGCCTCAGCCTTCCAAGTAACCGAAACTACAGGCATGTGCTACCACACCAGGCTAATTTTTTGATTTATTGTAGAGATGAGGTTTCGCCAAGTTGCCCAGGCTGGTCTCGAACCTGTGGACTCAGGCAGTCCTCTCACCTCAACCTCCCAAAGTGCTGGGATTATAGGCTTGAGCCACCATGCCTGACTTGAAACTCTTTTAAAAAATTATTTTATGAATAGGGAAATATATGTATGTTAGAAAAGTCAAACAGCTCAAAGGATGATTATCTGAAAATGAACTTTTGATAATTGGGTTAATTTGTTAGTTGGGTGAAATAATACATTGAGATACTGGTTCAAGTAACCTTTTTTTTTCTTTCAGTGTTTCCCAGTGATTTTTTCCTCCTGACTTAAAAAGTACTTTATACTCATTATAGAAAATTTATTAAAACAGAAAAAGAAATAGAAGAGTCATCCATAAACCAATCACTCAAAGAGACTTACATTTTTGTTTTCTTGTAGTATACACTCCTCCTCCCTGCATAAACACACTTTTCCCCTTCTTTTGCAAAATTAGGCTTATATTGTACATTTATTGTGAGCAGTTTCTGAAGGACAAGAAACATTTTACAATCTAGAGCTAGATTTTCTAAACACTTAGTTACTGTAACAAATGAAGTTTCTACAGACTGTTCTATCTTTTTTATTTTTATGTATGAAGGGTTGTTTGGATTTTTTTTCTCTAGGACCAGACCGCTTAGTCCTCTTTCCTCCTACTAAAAGATAGCTAAAAATTATGACTAGTAATTCTGAGGCAATTAGTGGATTCCAACTTATTTGAAAATTATATCTTTAGTTTCCCTTTTCCTTCTTACCTTGAAATTTGGGACTGAATTCTACTCAGCCCCGAAGTAGGCTACATTTATAATGCATTTGTGGTAAAGGTTGTGTTTGTGCTATGTATGCTCTGTCTTCCCCATGATGATTACTTTTCCGTCTCAGAAAAACATTTTCCATTGCTTAAAATAAGTAGGATAAGTAAGATTTTAAAATTCATTTGACATCAAATTGAGCATATTTCCCTTGGCTGATTCATAAATTCTCAAAGCAGAAGCACTAATTGCTACCTTGAAATAAATAGCTGTTTCCATCTCCAGAACTGTTTTTATATAGGATAACTATATGTTCTGATTTACTTTGGGACAGTAGTAGCTTACACCTATTGTTTTGGCCTAATAATTTTTATTAGTGCCTCCTTTCACTTGCAAAGTCACCTTGGTTTGGAAGATAAACTTTATTGTCTTCTATGTTTATATTACTATATTTTGAGGCTTTAAAACAAGTGTAAACTTACTCATGGGCACATTTTCTTTCTCTCCTAATAGATCCTGAACATCAGAGAGCTAATGGTAACTTAAAATATTTTGAGTATATAATGGCTAAAGAAAAAGATGTCAATAAGTCTGCTTCAGATGACCAATCTGATCAGAAAACCACACCCAAGAAAAGAGAGGTTGCTGTGGATTATCTGCCAGAGAGAAAGAAGTACGAAATGCTGTGCCGTGGGGAGGGTATCAAAATGGTAAAGTGGAAAAGCCAATTGTGTGTATGTGAATGTGTGTGTATGTACGTAGTTCTAGAAAGAATGAGAGTTCTTTTATAGTTAAGCCTGTGTAATTAAAATTAAAATGACTGCATAAAATATTACAGTATGCTATATTACATCACTGTGGATATTTCATTTAATGTGTTCTAATTATTAGCCAAACAGCTTTAAAATAAAGCTTGTGAATCATATGCTATTACATGCATTCGTGGTAACATTATCCTTTTTATAGATCAAAAGAGGCTTATTTCCCAGAATGAAGGATCAAATAAGTTTAAGGAAACTGATAATTTTTCTTATATTTATTGCAAAAGAGATCTCAGCAGTCTTAAGTAGAAATAATATGCTATTTATGAGATATAACAGATTCATCTATACAATAATTTCTTATGGTTTTGCCTCCTAGTCAACCTTGATAAGATTGCTTAGTGAAATGCTTTGGTCTACTTAAGAAATACTCAAAATGCAGAAAAACTTTCAACAGATTTTATCTTTAACTTTTAACTTTTATTTTATAAAAGACCCAAATATATCTATAACCATCCCTTTGTTTATTGTATATTGATATTTATGTATTTATAACTCAGAATGGCAGTTCTACAGGATGTTAATAGGTATTAGACCAAAAATGTAAAAGGATCCAGGTCTCAAAACATTTGTTAAACAAAGTTTAACATAGGTTTTTGTTTAGCCTTACAACTTCTCAGAGCCTTTTTATGATACTGTACACATTATAGATGTGATATACATTGTTTCCCAATATTAATTGATTCCTTTTTTAAAGGAGTATCCTGTGGTGATAGTGTTTAGTTGGCTGTAGGCATATATAGAAGGAATTAATGCATTTTTGGAGTAGGTACTTTTAAGTATACACATTTGAAGAGTATTTAAGTTTTTCTTTTTTCCTTTTTTTGAGATGGGGTTCACTCTGTCACCCAGGCTGACGTTGAAGTGGTGACATCATAGCTTATTGCAGCCTCCAACTCCTGGGCTCAAACAATCCTCTTGCCTCAGCCTCCCAAGTAGTTAAAGTGACAAGCGCATGCCCATACGCCCAGCTAATTAAAAAAATTTTTTTTATAGATGTAGAGTTTCACAATGTTGTCCAGGCTGGTCTCGAACTCCTGGCCTCAAGTCATCTTCCTGCCTCGGCCTCTCAAAGTGCTTGGATTATGGGCATAAGCCACTGTGCCTAGCTCCCTGAATTTTTCTTTACTGCTAATAAACTGAAACTACATTTACATTTTGATATTGATGACTGTTGACAGCTTAACCACTAACGGCAAATAGTGTATTATATTTATGTTAGCACTTATAATAACTAGTTAGTAGGTGTCCTAGTTTAATAGGAGTCCTAGGGGGACATGTTTGCTTTTACTTTGGGAGTAAATACAAAGATAGTGACATTTGGTTAGATTCATTAGACATTTTACATTTTAATTCTTAATATGTTAGTTTGTATCTTTTAAAGATAAGAACACAAAATAGCTACAATACCATTATCATACCTAAAAAATTTCACAATAGTTTCATAATATCATCAAATATCTAGTTAGTGTTCAAATTTTCAGTAGTAAGCAGATATTTCTTATTGCTTTTAATAACTCTTGAAGACAGCAAAATAGAACAACAGATTTAAAACACTTATGCCAATTTGTTGATATAACACGTACATGTCAATTCTGCCCCAAATCAAAGGAACATTCTTTTTCTCAGAATCGTTAAATTCATTTTATCATTATATAAAAGACTTAATAGATATTAAATCCTTGGGTTTGACTCTAGATAAATAAAGTGCATGGAAAATAGACATGAATCATTAGTTTTAGTACATTATTTATATAATAATTAAGCTGGTCATATTTCTGTTTATATGATATGCTTGCTTAATTAAGAGAAAAATAAATGAAATAACTTATTTTGTCAATATTATACATGGATGATTAAAGGGAATTTATTTTTGTTGACTGCTATATTTTTATACCCTAATAAAAGCATCTAGCTTTTTAATTTAATGACTTGCTGTCTGTTTTTCAAAGCCAGCCATTTTCACCTTTGCCCTTAAAATTTTTTTTCTTTCTTTTTTTTTCTTGCCATGAGCATTTAATTGCAAAGTATTTAGGAAAACTTTGTTTTGTTTTTCTTCTAAAACCTTTCTGGGTGCTTCCCAGTTACTTTGTGATGTTTAGAGCAATGCTGGGCATTCATTTAATATTTCCATAAATATTTTCATTGTTTCTTTTATATTTATAACACTTGAACTGTATTTTGATAAGAGAAGGGTTAAAAGACAAACCCTACCATTTAAAAAAAAATTTAAGGTCTCTTATCCCTCACACAGAAAATAATCATTATTAAATTTTTTAAATTCTGAAGATCCTGTTTGATGTAAAATATTTACATAGTACTTCCTATTTTGTATATTTTCCCAGAAATACTCTGTGTATATGTAAGGTTGATTATTGTTTCTTATCTGCATAGGAATAGGTGTTAAAATATTACTCTAATATATTTATTATATTCTTAATTTTGTTTAGACTCCTCAGAGACAAAAAAGACTATTTTGCCGCTACCATGATGGAAACCGGAATCCTAAATTTATTCTGGCTCCAGCCAAACAGGAGGATGAGTGGGACAAGCCTCGTATTATTCGCTTCCATGATATAATTTCTGATGCAGAAATTGAAATTGTCAAAGACCTAGCAAAACCAAGGGTAAATAAGTTTTTTCTTTTTTTCTCTTCAATTTACTGTACCTGTGTATCAGTTTTTCTTTATAAGATGACAGAAAGGATAACTGATCTGGTAATAATACCACAATTTTTTTTTTTATGATTTTGTTGCATCAACATAATGGAGTTGTTATTGAAACTGTCTTCATGCCAGTTTTTCTAAGTTTATTATCAATGCAAGTAGCTTACCCTGCAACTGGGATTTAAGCACTGAATTATGAAAATCAAGGATGAGATTTTTATTTACACTTAATAAAGTTGTTTTTCACCATCTTTATGATAAACTTTTCTATATATTTTGGAGTCTTTTAATCTCAAACTACTCAAAGCCCAACTTTTTCATACCTTCTATGTTATTATCTGAGAGACTACTTTTGAAGTACTTTTATTCTCCTTTATGCACATTATTACTAGAATGATATAATTAGTCACAAGCATCATGTTAACATGAAATGGTGACATCATAATTTTCAGATTTTAACACACTTTATTTATCTTAATAAGAAAAATGATCTGGGTGGGCGCGGTGACTTACCCCTGTAATCCCAGCACTTTGGGAGGTCGAGGCGAGAGGATTGCCTGAGCCCAGGGGTTCGAGACCAGCCTGAGCAAGTTGGTGAGACCTCATCTCTAGAAAAAAAAGAAAAGAAAAAAAAATGTAAACCCAATCCTATACACTTAGTGTTTAGCATATAAATTCTTCTTTGGTGAGAATGTGGGAAAGACTACCTTTTATGCTCTTGCCTTTTTTCCCATCAATTTGTTCTTAAAACATATTTGGTCTTCTTGATAGTAAAATACAAACTACCATCACTTTCATAAAGAGATTGTTAAATGAATACTAGGCATATTTTTGTTCTCTTACTACACAGGGATTGGCAAATTTTTTCTATAAAGACTTTAGGCTTTGTAGGCCATATTTCTGTTATGACTACTCACCTCTGCCACAGTAGTGCAAAAACAGCCAAAGGAAATATGTGAATGAGTGTGGCTATATTACAATAATTTATTTATTTCCAAAAACAGGTGGCATGCTGAATTTGGCCTGTGGGCCATAGTTTGCTAACCCTTGTTATGTCATAAAGACTTGCATTATCTGGATATCTGTACTGCAAAATAAACTTAGAATTTTTTTAAAGTTTTATTACTTTTTCAGTTGGTACTTTTTTTTTACTAAATATTTCATTATAAATGCAAAAGACTCATCTAATATTAGTATGTATGGGTGCTGTTCAAAGGAATTAAGAATTCATTTCAGCTTGGAGATCAAGTCTTACATCTCTCTAGGCTCGAAGGCTTCAGTCTTCAAAGGAGATTGCTCAGTTTGGACTTTTTTTATCAATACATTTAATGGCAATAAAATTTGATTTCTTAATTACCCTCAGAATTATCCTTCTATCTTTTAAAAGAAGTTTAAAGTCATTATCTAGGCTGTCATCTCTTTCTCATGAGCTCTTTTAATCTACCTTTGTGCTCTGTCCAAAATTATTTCACTGTATATATGTTACTGAGTGAATATCTTGAAGAAAGAAAAGATTGACATTAAAACAAATTTTAGACACTAACCCTGGCAAACAGTTCTATCATTAAAAAAAAAATTAAAGTAAAAAAGTTTTGGAATGGATTATTAACTGCAAATAGCCAGTCTTGTGACTACGAAATAGGCTTCAAATTACAGAAATTTCTTTGTCTCACTGTCACATCCTCTAACCATTGAAAGAAATTTAATTTCCAATCTTTTTTGTTTGTGTACTCTCAAAACAAAAACTAAATAATTTTAAAAAAATACATAAACCTAAAAAACTAACTGGCTTTCAAAGCTCAGCACAAGGTGACTGGAAGTATATGGAGATATTTTCTCTTTTCAGCCTCCTTTGTAAAAACCCCAGAATTCTGACTGATTGGGTAAATGTGATTCATTTTTTGTCTTGTAATGCAAATATTTTGATGGTTGGCTTCACAGCTGAGGCGAGCCACCATTTCAAACCCAATAACAGGAGACTTGGAGACGGTACATTACAGAATTAGCAAAAGGTAAGAGATGTGTATGCTGTATATTTTGCCCTCTAATAAGTGTTTTGTACATCCTACAGGAACTATTCCCTTTAAGGGAAGTAGGTCATTTTCAGTCTCCAGCTCAAGTCACCATCCTGTATATAAACAGGATAAATGCATGGATAAACTGCTTTGTGTTTCACAGGTCTTTCCCTTTAACTAGAAGTTCTGTTTTTAACCTTTAATTGGTTTTTAATATGCTTTCTTCAGATTAAATATCAGATATCCAGGAAATGGCCGATTATTTGTTTTCTTTTTCCCTTTTGTTACCAAAGGGGGAATAAAAGAAGCAGCCTGGTTAGGGAGTAGTCTTTGCTTATGCAGTTTTCTCACATTCATAAATGCTGCAGACTCACATCATCCTTCATGGTGATTGTGTTGGCATTTGTTCATATGTCTTATAAAATACCATTGTCATTATATAGTATTCTGTGTTCCTCCTGTTGGAGTTTCTAATTTGAAAAACTTGCTGACTCAAAAGTTGGCAATGGAAAAGAGAGTTATGCATCTGAGCTCAGTCTTCCAGAAATTACTTAGTTGTCGTTTTCTTTGCCAGAGATATTTAAAAACTGTTCTATCTTGGTGAGAGTTTTAAAAAATGAATTTGAGGACACTACTAATTTTTTTCAAAATATTTAAAGAACATTAAACTTCTAGATCTGAGAAAGCTCCTGTGAAACCCAGTGCTATAAATCATTTACATACAGCTTCAAATGATTTTTTTTAAAAAAGTGAAAGGACAATAAATCTACAACAAAATCTGTCAACTCATTTTCTCTTGATTTGGAAGTGGCTGTTCTTAATGCCACATTTCTAAATGTTTTTGCGGATTTGAAACTATTACCTACCATCCAGACCAATCTGAACCCTTCCAATCACCTGTGGCTTGGCAAAACAAAATAAACAAAAGCCCCAAATTGCCTGCTACTGGAGTAAGTCCTTGTCCTTTCTCTTTTTTTGTAGCTGAGCCGAGCTACAGTACATGACCCTGAGACTGGAAAATTGACCACAGCACAGTACAGAGTATCTAAGAGGTAAGGGAGTAATGGAGAGAACTTTAGTCATTTGGACCATTTTCTTTCTTGAGAATTTAATTTTCACAAAACTCCTGATACAGTTTCTAAGACCTAGGCAGTTAAGCTTAGATATTTAATGGTATCCATGCTTGAATCTTCATGACAGACTAAACAGACGTGGTTATAGTTAATACAGATTTTTCAAAATAACTTCTTTAATTACAAAATGCCTCGTTAGGCTCCCAAAAACCCTAACTGGTAAGTGAAGTTGTATTCTCATATTGAAGTAAGAGATGTTTCCAAAGACCTTTCATCGAATAAGGTCTAATTTGGACTCTGGTAAAGTAGAGGTTTAAACATCTCTCTTGATAGCTGTAAGTATTGAGAAAGCAAATGCCTTGAATGACTATGTAACAAAGCCTTTACAAATTAATCGGTTTCAAATTTCTTGCTTTAACAATGTTTAAAGAGACTCTAATTAAGTTATTAGTTGATGAATCATTAAAATAACTTTTAAAAATAGATCACTGTGTAACTTAGGAGTATAACTTAGAAGGAGCTCACAGAATTGAGTGTCATTCCAGTAGAACTTCTTTTCCATCTACTTGTGAAGGTTTTTCAGCTCTCATGAACATAGAAATATCTTTGTACTGAATTCTGTCCTATTCTCACAATTAGTAATATTTATCCATAGATACAATAACTAATTAAAATAACAAACATAGTTTTCACTTTTTTATATTTAATAGTGATTGTTTAATCATGTTGTTTAGATTAACATCTATGAATAATAATTGCAGTAACTCAATCCGGAACATTATTTTTACACAGATCTTTATGTTATGGGAAATTTATATTTCTGTCAACTATATAAATATTTTTATTATAGAGAAATATAATGTGATAAAAGAGTTTCACATTAAAACTTAAAAGTATCACTCTAGGACAAGGTTTCCTAACCTTAGAACTATTCATTTTTTGAATTAGATAATTGTTTGTTGTTGAGGACTGTTATAATCTTCACAGGATGTTTAGCAGCATCTCTGGCATCCATTAGATGCCAGTAGCACCCTTCCTCCAGTTGTGGCATCAAAAATGTCTCCAGACATTGCCAAGTGCCCCCTGGTAAGCAAAATTCCCACCACCACCTCTAGTGACTCCACCCTTGTTGAGAATGGAATGAAAAGTAAGATTAAGAAAAAAATGTACAATTTTCAAGTATTAAAAAATATTTTGTTCATGCACTTTTT